ATCGGAATCCACCGCGGGCACCAGAGGCGGTCAATCCTCTTTCTTGTTACACATCTCACATCCCATCCCATCCCATTCCACTCCTTTCAGCTTGCTCCCTCCTCTAATTGACATTGAACTTGCCAACAGTCCCCCACAAGTTTGACGAGAGCCATTCCACTGCGTCAGTACGAAAGGTCTCATGTCGTGGTCCTTTGTTCCAGCCAGCGTGGACTGCAGTGCGCAGATTGCTAGCTGTCTGCAAGGCCAGCCGAGTCATCCTGTCGGCGGTGGGAGTGAAGGGACAGCTGGATTTTGTACGGCCAATAAGTAAACATGCAAAATTAAAGACTCGGCAAGCTTGAATCAAAGATGTTTGTGTACCCCTGTCACGTGAATGAGGGGCTGAATTGTGTCTCGCTAGCGATAAGATAAGGGGGTCGCTGGGTCAACGATACTGTATTGTTCACTAGAGGTAAACAAGGCTGGGTGCAAGTAAACTTCCAATCTCGGTCTCAGATCTTCTGGTCATCTAGTGCGTATTATTACAGAATACCAACCCTTTTCATTTGCCATTAGCTGGATGCATTGCATCTCTGCCGCATGAGATTATTAACGAGAGTAAGTATTGCTTTCGCACACTCAACACACATGCTTATCGTTCATCCAGACAACATTCCACTGCATTCAATCAACGCTCGCGCCGGGATGGCTGGTTTCAACTCCCTCAATCCTCTGACTGTCACAAAGAGGTCATCCCCCACTAAATACTCCAAAATCGATACTCGAATCCCCAGACGACGAGAACGCGATCTAGAAAAACATGATTACTCCGACGATTCAGACGATGAATCCGACTACTCCTCTTACACATCCTCGCCCGTCTCCTCTCGAGAGACGTCTGGCTCCTACTCATCAAATCGACCAATGCTGCGGAGGAAATCATCTGCAGGCTCCCAACGACCTACGAATTCAAGATACAGACTTCCGAACAAAGTTATGCGGTATTTATGTTTGGCATTAATCTCGACAATTGTTATTTTCATGTTAAGTTTAGTCCGAATGAGTGTTGTATCCTCACGGCGAGTGGAAGCTGGAGATCTTGGGAAACGGCCACCACCCCCACCCGAGCCATGGAAATCATTCACATTTCTATCAAGATATTACGGTGGCATCAGAACCTTGGTACCACTGTCGGAAAATAAGCCCGAATATCCGTCTGCTGCTGATGAGCTGCCAATTTCAAACGAGACGACGTCTATTCCAACCCGAGAAATTCCATCCAGCAAACCATTTCAAGCATTCAAGCACCAAACCTCAAGTACTTACTTGAACGAACATGGGCCCGTTAACGAATGTTTTCTAGATTTAGAATCAACTATACGCATCCCCCAACTGCAATACTACCAGGGAAGGCCAAGTGGTTTCCCTGATAATGTTGTTGGATCTTATGAATTGCTCGGCTTGCCGGAGGACATCTGTTTTGAACGCTTTGGGAGATTGGGACCCTATGGGTTTGGATACTCGTCAAAGTACGGGGGCACTAATACTGGTGAGCATGGAGACACAGAAGGATCAGCTTCGGTTTGGGCAGATAACTCGGAACTTGGTTTCAACCAGGTTGACTATAGAAAGGTCAAGTGGGGAGCTGCTCAGAAGAGATGCTATGAAGCAAATGCCGCGCGCTTTGGGCCTCAATCTCCTCTTGTCGAGCTTCCCACGACTTTCTCCGTGGTTAGCCAAGAAGAGGGCGCGGCGGAGAAGCAAGACGGACGACCGAGCCCGACCTTGGATGCGAGAGCCAATGTTACGGTGAATAAAAAGTATCTGCCTCGTACTGCTGTGGTTATTCGTGTATGGGACGACTTTGAGTATCGAGAGGAGGATACGCTCAACCTCAGAGCAATGATCTCAGAGCTTTCGCTTAGTTCGGGTGGAGAATACGATGTCCATCTTCTCGTCCAAGTTAAGGATGAAGCGAAACACCCTATCTGGGCGGATCCTGAAACCTATCAGCAACACTTGGAGGACTGTGTGCCCGAAGAATTTCGTGATATTGCAACGTTGTGGAGCGAAACACAGATGCTCATGTTGTATCAAGGAATTTTCGATACTTTTACCCGTGGCCTCCCTGTACATGGCCCCTATCGAGGTCTACAAATGGCCATGCAGCATTTTGCCCAAAAACATCCCGAGTACGACTTCTTCTGGCATTGGGAAATCGACATTCGCTATACCGGGCACTACTACAATCTGTTTTCACAAGTCGAGTCATGGGCCAAGAAGCAACCCCGGAAAGGATTATGGGAGAGGAGCGGTCGGTTTTATGTTCCCTCAGTCCATGGATCTTGGGAAGATTTCAAGCAAATGGTTCGCGTTCAAACCGATATGGGCACCGAGAACGCCGAAGATATGTGGTCCGGCATCAAGGGAGCCAAGATCCAACCGAAAGGCGAGAAGCCAATTTGGGGCCCCGAACGACCTCAAGATCCTGAGGACTGGTTTGAGATCGAGCATGACCCCAAGCCTTCTGGGAGTTACGACAAGGATAAGTATGTTTGGGGAGCTGGTGAAGATGCCGATCTTATCACTTTCAACCCTCTCTTTGATCCCGAAAAAACAACTTGGTTTCTTGCGAACGACATTACAGGTTTTAACGCCACCAAAGGACCGCCCCCTCGTCGAGCAGCAATTGTAACGTCTTCAAGGATGTCGAAACGACTTCTTAGAACGATGCATCGTGAAACAGCTTTCAAGAAGCATCACGCTTTCTCTGAGATGTGGGCACCAACTGCTGCATTACACCATGGATACAAAGCTGTCTATGCCCCACATCCCATGTTTGTGGACAGAGAATGGCCCACACCGTATCTTGCAGGAGTTCTGAACTCAGGCAGGAACGGCGCTAGTGGTGGTGCAAGAACAAGTGTGTTTGGCGAGCGGGAGCACAATCTGTTGGGTATGACTTGGTATTATAATGCAGGATTCGCACCAAATTTGTGGAAGAGATGGTTAGGACTGAAGGTTAATAATGAGGGCGGAGAAGAGTTCGAATTGATGGTTGACGAAGGCAGAAGTGGTAATGGTGTGAATGAAATGAGAGGTGGGGAAGGAAGGATGTGTCTCCCTCCCATGCTCTTGCATCCCGTAAAGGATGTGGACCTGCCGTTGGAGAGGACGAGGGAAGAGGAAGCTGTACCAGAGAGTGATCCAAGTGCGTAATTCTTGATTTGGGATAGTGGCGTTTTGAGCGACTTAAAGACGGTATACGCTAGTTTTGGGTGTAGATAGCTCACGAAGATATGATGTGAAATAAAGATCTTTCTCGGAAGCTATCGGCCATATTATTCTTGCTCTGGAGTATGTTCGTGATCGTTATCCTTTTTCTTGGACTTCTTGAAATGCTCCTTTCCCTCCGAGATGTACGCCACAACTTTTTGACCTGCGAAGCTCCTCCCATCCATTACTTCAACACAAGCCCTGGCCGCCTCCGCGTTCGAGAACCTGACACTTGCGACTCCTTCCTCTTCCATATCAAATAGGACTACGTTCGTAACCTCTCCCAGTTTACTGCACTCCTCTCTGATGTCTTCCTTGATATCCAGTATCGCAGCTGGGTCTTCCGCCAATTCCTCCAATGTAAACATGTGCTTCAATATAACCACTTTGTCCCATCTAGAGCTGGTTTCCACGATGCTGGAGGGCTCGTCATCACTCCAATCGGCTAACCGCGCATCCAACTTCTGCGTCTTCTTTATTATTTTTTGCTTGTCTTTCATACTCGTCTTCGGTTTCTCCTTCTCCTCTCCATCATTGTGCTGGACTTTCTTATAGCTCGACTCTGCGGCTTGAACTCTCATCTTGCCGTTCGTCGTATCTCCTATCCTGAACTCGGTGTCGTCCAGTAACATGATCGCCATGTCGACAGATGGAGCCTTGAAGAAAACGATCAATGCGTCGCCTTTGAAATCTCCCTTCTCATCTGTGTAAAGTTTAATGCGTGGCTTTCCACTATCGATTTCTTCCGCAATAACACCACATTTTCGAGAAAACACCTCACGGACTTCTTCGACAGTCACATCATTTGGCAGGCCCGTAACGTATACGGCAGTATTGGCTCGGGGAGGGAGAGGTGCTTTGGATTTCTTGGGGGCTTTAGTGACTCGTCCTCCTTCCTATTACTTGTTAGCTGTGACTGAAAAAGGGAAAGGGCTCTTACATCTTCGCCGTTCACGTATTCCTTCTTGCGCTTCCTTTTCATTGCCTCTACAGGCTCTGTCTCGTCTACTCCAGAAACCATGTATGCTTTTTGTTGCTCCTCCAACAGCGCCTCGTCGACAACTGGGATCCATCTCTTGATCGCATCGTCGAACTCAAACTCGGCGCCATCTTCTTGCACCAAGACGAATTTGTTGTCGAGTTTGGAGTATGAGATTCTGTCGTCGGCATCGAATTCTTCTGGATTTGTTGGGAAGGATGAACCTCCAAAGCTGTGCTCTTGTCTTTGTTCCATTGTTGACTGATGTTGTCGTCGATGGAAAGCAGCAGGTTGGAGCTCACGACAAAAGATGGTTTGTGCCTGAGGCCGCAACACGGGATTTTCAAACGCAAAAGATGTTTCCGCCGCAGCACCGTACAACCCATATATCTAGAATGTTAGATAGATTTCTAGGGATTCTGTACAATTTAAAATGCTAAACTTTCTGTGTCTGCAATTTTACAGCTGCTTGAAAAAGAGGAGATAAGTTATGAACGAGCAAATAAGAGGAGCTGAACAAAGGGAAGGACTACAGCGGAAGAGAGTAGCATTAAAGGGTCATTGCATGAAACCAGGTCACTTAAAAGTAACAAATCTGTTGTTCTAGTATTGTACTTCCAATAACCGGTGATGTGAAAAAGAAAAAGAAAAAGATGAGTCAAGGTAGTTATCAAGACAAGCGAGGGTCGAAAAAAATAATTATGATCCTTATTTAGCAATGCCTGAGAGTTGTTATTATTAATTCTATAATGTTCTTCAGTGCTAGCATTACCTGGTTTCGATCCAGGGACCTCCGGGTTATGAGCCCTATTGTTGATTAGTTGATGGTACTAGATACTGGATTGAAGTTGCTTACCGGCGCGCTTCCGCTGCGCCACATTGCTGGCTTGTTGAGACTGAAACGCCTTATTTTGATTAATACGACCATTAAAAAAATGGAGGTCAGATAGAGGTCCAGACCTTTCCTCAGCCACATTACATTGAGCCGTAACGTAGTATTGCCGCAGCCACATACTTTGCCATATCTTTCACGGTTTAGAATAAGACCCGTTTGCTTCGCCGTCGAGATGTAATCTAATATCCTGCTCCGGTAAACGTACAGTGAGTCCTCTGTTCTTTCTAGCTGGCTAAATCATCTGGAATTTATCATCCTATCTCGAGATTTTATCTTTCCGCCGAGTTTTCGAGCAATTATTCTTGTTACTCTATCCTTTCGCCGGAATCCGCCTGATATTCAGGGGGTCAGTGCTGGTTCTTATTGCCTGGCTTGCAGCCTGAGGCCCCCCTCGGAATGACCACGACATTCCTCCATGCCACGAGGTACACCGACCCTGAATTTTGACTTCTCCTGCAAGGTACCCAAAACCGACACGGCACTCATCAATCTGCTTGCCGAGGCTAGTAGGGCCACTAGTACCGAAGGAGTTTGGGTACTTGTCAACGTCAAGCTCATACCAATGCCCTTCGACTTTACAAGCGAATTATATTTACGATGCCTATTTGCAAAGAGCCAAAGTATCTATTTAATTGGATCAAAATCCCCTTTAGGTGGAAGTTAACTGGCTTTTGGCAGGCTCAAGAGTTCTCGACCCAGACGGCATTATTAGCATCCAGGCCAAAGGTATATAGTTCTCACGATGTACGAACTAACAGTTTATCCCTTCTCTTTACATCGAAGCCTTCCACAGTAAATCAATATGGATGGCCACGGGCGTCTCCTCCCTTGAGCACCCTCTCAACCCACGCCAAGGCCTTTCGGAGGAACTCCTACGCCACAACCAAACCCCTTGCAGCACCTGCGTCAGTAGTTACAATTCCGCTTGAGAATTCACAATCATCTTCACAGTCAGCGGCAAACCCGTCCAGCAATCCACAATCAACACCCCGACCTGCGGCGACCCCGTTCGGCAACCCACCTCCGGCTCAACCACAAGCACAGCCATATACCAATGGCTCCTCTTCGCCCACTGAACATCTATCTCTGTCAAAATACAGCACTCGTGACGGTAACAGGCGTCTCCTCACCTGAAAAGATTTTCAAAGTCATAAAAAGGATAAAAGGAATCTTTCGAGTCTCGTTCTTTGTGAAACTCTGTATTTTGAGACCTCTAAGTAGAGCTTTCGGTTGCGAGAAAACGAGGCCGGCAGCCGCTCGCTAGTAACATCAAAGGCTTCACTTTAATTCACTTCAGCCTTACGACTTTTTACCCTAGTGCTTTTTGCAGAGATTCACGTACTCACGAAATCCTCGATACTAAAACAAAACTTCCTAGCACAAAATTCGATCTTCTCTCTTCAGTATGAAGTTCGCACTCCGGTCTGTTTTGTACTCACTCACGCAGCCCCCAACTGTGTGATCTCTTTGAGAATCCTCTTGCACGCGTTGCAATCCTAGCTTCCATCGAACTTGAGACTAGCGTTCCTGAGATCTGGCTTATAGCCTGATACTAACTTCATTCGACGTTCTTGCTAACGTTGCATTCAACAGAACCGCCAAAGCCTCTGATTCAAGATCCGCGTTAAAAAGCTTCCGAGAGAGCAAGCAAGCATATTAAGAAAAGTACAAGGTATGTACCACCTTCTCAACACGTCGCAACGTACTGATAGATCAAGCCTCCAGTCTAGATATATCGAGGAAGTGCCCACGTACTATCCGTGCCTAGCTTGCTTTGAGCTTGCAGAAGTGACTGACATTTCTCTAGAACCCGCCAGAATTTCTGTCTATTGCGCCCAATAAAGCTTTAGGCTCTTAATACTGTAGGTACTTGGCTGCCGCGGTAGTCTCCGGTGACTCTGACAATGTTAGAATACATATAGCTCCGATATTGACACACACGTGATTAGCGGATTCCTTGGTCAACGATTGTATGTTTACAGACCTGCGCAGACAATGATGGATGCTCACGTGCCGCCAACAGAGGTTTTATACAACGATATTTGAAGGTTCATCGCGCCCGATAAGGCTTTGAACGTCATTCACTGTGTATGCATTCTTTCTCGTCCAACTCGCGATCTGCCATACTGACCGACTGTGTCTCCAGATCTTTCACAACCTTCGCAATCTACGATAGAGTTTTTCCGACCTTTACTTTCAAGTGTTACAGGTATGTCAATCTAAAGTTGTAAAGAAGGTGCTTAAAATTAATCGTCGTCATATAGAGCACAATGGAGTCCGCACTAGCCTTCAGAGGACCTCCTGCTGCGGCACCAACAGCAAAGAAGCGGCCAGCAAATGATGGCGACGGCGAAGACGAGAAGCGCGCCCCAAAGCGTGCAATACATCCGGATGGAACCGCTTCTACTAAGGGGGATAAGGACGCTGGAAGGCTCGCTTCAACAAAGGCCTTATTCGATAGAATCTCTGCGGCATATCGTGGAGAGCATACAGACCCCTTGGGAAGTGATGCTCCAACTGGCAATGAACCTGGCTTTCTCAACATGTTCAAAAACAGGAAATGCACGGTCCTGTTCTCCGATGGTGCCGTTTCTTCTTTGGCAACTCACTCGACCGAGGAGCTGCGTTTTGTCTACAACACATTCTCGCAAAACACGGCAGTCGAGATTCGAATGGGCCAGCTGAAACGAAACAAGCAATGAGATAACGACTTCGTGCATCTTCGAACCTTGGACATCAACTCTGAACAGGTGGCAAAAATTGTTGAGCGCAAAACCGTGCAAGACGCGAATTCTACTGCGATCCGTCAGGCACTCTCCCACCTGCCTCAGATTCACGATGGCGACGACGACATTGAACGCATCTTGAGACCTTTAGAGAATGTTCACGCAGAAAATGCCGTCGAATGCGTCATTTTCACTATCATATAGGGCAGTCTATAGATCTATCACCCTCACAACTGCCTAAGCACAAACTATATTATTGCTAATGGCATCTCGGAGTATATTAGTAGTATTAAATATGTGACTATTATACGCATAGTAGAGAAAGAGGATAAACGCTTTGCCGATGGCTTCTTTTATAAAGTTTTTGAGAAGTATTTTAAGGAAGGTATATATTAGAGCTATAAGCTTAATAAATTATTATCTTTATATTATATTTTATAAATTAAATTATAATTAATAAATAAGCTATTATATATTATTTTATTAATTAATAGTTAAAGAGTTATTAATAAAGAAAATCTAATTTAATTATATATTATTATTATATTTTATTATTTAAATTACGATTAATAAATAAGCTATTATATATTATTTTATTAATTAATAATTAATTAACTATTAATAGAAAAATCTTAATTTAATTATATATTATATATTATAATATATATAATTATATTTTATCCTTACTAGCTATTATTATAAATTATAGCTTAAGTTATTAATTATTAAAGATTAAGTTATTAAGAAATCTATTTTCTTAATAACTACTAATCGGATTTTAATAATAATTTTATCTATAAATTCCTTATATTTAATAATAATTATTAAATTTTATCCGGAATTATTATTATAATATCCCTAGCTTTTATTAGCTAGTAAAATCTAATTAGTTCAATCAATTCTACTAAGCCTACTAAGGCTTAGAATAAAACCCTTAGCTTAGCTCTAGCTTATGGCTGTTAATTCTAGCTTACGGCCATTAGTACTAAGCTAATTTTAGTATACTCGGCTATGAATAGTTATTTTCGGGGTTTTAATTTATAATATAGTAATTATAGGACTAATCTAATTTCTAATCTATGGCCGTAAACTAATAATTTGATTTCAAAGCACGGCTAGTTAAGGGTAATATTAGTAGTACCAGTACTAATTAGGGACCCTTAAGGTTTATATAAGTATTTAATTTTCCCTCGTATAACTAGAGAATTAAGTACTTAAATATTAATTCTTTATCCTTAGTTATAATTTAATTTACTCTTATATTTTAATTACCCTATATATACTCCTAGGTTACCCTATTTATATATCTTAGTTACCTTATTCTATATCTAGGTTACCTTATATAAAACTAATAATTCCAATATAGTAATAATACTTAGTTTTAACTAAGAATTACTAAAATTAATTAATTTAGACTACTAAATTAAGCGAGGCTTCCCCTTATATTAAGGGTAATTTCCCCCTTATTTTTTACTAATTTAAGTAAATATAGGTAATTATAGACACGTGCCCCATATACCCCTAAGATAAAGTTCTAGTGAGAGTATAAACTAGAACCTCTTAATTATATATCTATAAAAATAAGCAATTATATTACCTATAGCAGGTAATATATAAAGGCTTATTATAAGCTATTCTTATATAAGGGATTCCAGTCTTTATAATTACTAAGAGCCCTTAGTAATTAGTAAAGATTATATCTTCCTATAATTACTTATATTAGGTTATATTTAATTATATATTAGTATTACTATAACTAATTAAGGGTAATATAATTAGTCTTAATCCCTATATTAATATTTAATAATATATATAAATATATATTCTAAATACGCCTCTAGTATAATTCTTAATATATCTGGCTATATATAAGTATACTATATATAGGGGTTAACTCGAGTTTATCCCTAAATATAATATATTTATACTATATATATAATTATTCTAGATATAGGCCTCTAAGTACTTAAGAGTACTTAGAAGTTAGTTATTATATTTATAATAATTAAGAGAAATTAGTTTATTAAGGAAGGATTATAATTACTATTAAAATTCTCTTAAAATTATTTTATAATTTTTAATATTATATATATCTAATTTTAGCTTAGCTCTTTTACTTAGTAAAAGGGTCTTATTATAAGCTTGAAATTAAGATAAGAGTTATAATAGTAAGTTAGAGCTTAATTCCTTAAAAGGTCTTAGAAAAAGGGATCAAATTTCACCGTAATTTACGACTAAAATAAAGATATATAAGTACTTATAA